TAGTTAAACTTATTTGAAAATGATGCAGGCGTTTTCAGACTTGGTTGTGATTGTGGCTTTCCTACATCGGCCAAACAAAGCGTAGCATCTCAAACAGAATTAAAGAACACGTTGCGGATATAAAACATAAACGTCTCTCCAAATCTGCGGTATGCCAAAACTCATCGGAAGGGCGATTTTTTTTTCCAAGATTGGTACGCGAAGCAATTGAAATCAAAAAACACCGAAATTTCAATAGGGAGGACGGCCTCAAATTATCAAACACCTGGGATCCCATTTTAAAAACTCTGGATCCCAATAAACAGCATACCGGCAAACGCGAAGACACCGTTAGTCAGTTCTGCAAGGACCCGGCCAGTTTCGATAAATACCAACTTCGACAGAACAGATGGTGCTAGCATAGCAATTTTTTACTTTGATGTCAGAGACATTCTCCATCTTTAGTCTCCCCGTGACCACGGCTGCTGCAAAGCATCCGAAACGTCGAGCCGAAGTTTAAAATCATTTTCAAATAAGTTTAACTAATCTATCGCGTTTTAAACCGTTAAGTGTTTTAAAGTGTCTTACTTAAATGTGTACTGCTCGCGTAAACTACAGATAGTGCATTATTGATTGAATACCGAAATCAGACTTAATAACTAATTTTTTCACACAAAATCTGGATTCTCTCATAACTCCAAACTGTAAGTCCTTTTTATGAAACTGTCAGAACTCCAAACCACGACAATAACGTACATAGTCAGAGAGTTATGTACTTTAGTACTTATAGTTTCCTATATACGGTTATTCTGCAGCTTCAGAAACATTATTCGTTCTTATTAAATCATCGCAAGTTACTAGTTAAGGGAGTTAAAAAAGGTTTCAACACGACTGGTTCTGACTAAATGCGAGATAACATATTATATCCTAATTCAACATTGTCAAAGATATTTATTTAACAATACTAGTTTTTGTCTACAACGAAAGTTGAAGTAACATCCTGTAGGTTTAAATAAAACACTTTAACGGTTTAAAACGCGATATATTTTAGTTAAACGTTTTTGAGGATTATTTTTAACTGCGGTCCGACGTTAAAGTATTTTATTTAAATGTGTACTGCTCGCGTAAAATGCAGACAGTATCCTGTAGGTTGCTTAAAATTATTATGATACAATAAATATCTTTAATAATGTATTTTTAACTAGGACCAAACATTTCGGCTGCTTTAGAACGCTATAAATGAGTCAATCAATGTTAAAAATGATGCAATTTTAGGTCCACTACTAACAGGTTTGAGGATGTCAAACTAAATAATTTAAAAATCGAAAATAAATTTAAAAAAAATGATACTCGGCCTGGACTTGAACCGGCAGCGTCAGCGTTCCGTGCTGTTGCTCTGTGGAACTCTGACGATGACTTCAAGTCCTGCCTGATTTTTAAATTATATAGTGCCTTCATGTTCAATAACATGTGAAAAATATTAAGCTTTCAAATGTCAAACTAAGTCTTTTTTATTCTACACGATCTATTGAACAGACCTTGATCAAATCACAATAATAAGTCACAGTTATTCTTCTGAGGTTATATTTTGTGAGAACTAAAGTAAAAAGTCAAAAAGTACATTTGCAAACGATTTTAGCACAAAGCCGCCAGCAAAGTTATTCCCCACAATAAAACCACAGGCTGCATAGTTTAGATTTATTCAATTCGTCCGGCAAAATATTTCCTGCAGTTCAATAAATATTTACTTACTCTTGCGACAGCAAACGATACTGTGCAATATCCTTAAGGACTCTTTGCTATTATATTAAGCCATCCTTATTATTTTCTACTCTCTCCGATATTTAGATCTGGGGGTAGGTTTTCTCGTTTCTTATTCCACAACACTACTACGTTATAAAGAGTATTGTTAATTTTAAAGATTACATCACTTTTATAAAAACGAATATTATTTATTGTTACAAAATAAGTTTAAACAAACAAGCCCAAGCAACAGGATGGAAATCACAGAAAACCCCGAGAGACATATAAACTAAATGTGCAAATAAAAGTAAAACTAAATGAGACACATACACTGCAACTACTAACACAGGCAACTAAACTAAGAACTTCATGGGACTTGGAAGATATGAGACTGGTGTTTTTTATAATCAAGAGGAACGTTGACAAGTCTTTCATTGTATGAACTGTAAAAGCAAATGAAGTTGATAGGAAAACGTCGACTTAATTTAACAAGCTGACCTGGGAAACGTTATTTTGCAATGTGGAGTGTTTCAACCGAATTTGATTATCATAAAAAACGGTTTTAGTGAGTTAATATTAAAAGATAGACTGTCAAGGACATAGTCTCAAATTTTGGAGAATATATTCTTTCTGATTATTTATTTTTGGATATCTCAAAGGTTAATCATTAGCCTGTTTTTGTTTCACATTTACTACAGTTTCGTCACACGTCGCTGCACTATTTTTTTTAATTCATCTCGATAGTTCCTGAGATTAGGGCGAATATAAATTTTAGCATTTTTGAGATACAATAATAAACTCGTTATATTTAGTCCCGTAGGTCTATTAATAACTTTAAAAGATGACCCTTAAAATAGAATCATTAACCATTCTTTTGTGGACTAAATGGGGTACAAACGACTAATTCCCTTTACCTTTTAACCTTTAAAATTATTTGGTACGTTTCACTTTGGGACCAGACCTTAATTCTTATAACAGATGCCTCTTATAATATGAAACTGTATTGTATACACGGTTCCTTCACTAAGGTCAGCTACATTATAAATTAAGCAGCTTGAATAGCGAAATAGCTAACCCAACAATGGCGAAGCTAAAAGAGAAGACAGTTTATGCTGCAACATGCATAAACTATAATAACGCCAATAATATTTAACTGCTTTTGTTGCTTAGCTTACAATTAAGTATGGTTTCGAAAGACAAAGTTGTGGTGCGGTGCCATTTTTTGTATAAAAGTTCTTAATCAAATACATAAATTAAATTACTCTTTCGTTTTAGACAAAATGCGCGTGCTACTAGCCTCTTAGCAGTCCTTGCTGCGTGTACAACAGCTGAATGTAAGTACCGTTTTAATATTTAATAACAATATAAATAACACGAATAAAATTAACCTTTTGTCACACGCTATTCATTGTAGCTTATCGTAAACCTTTAAAATTTGGTCTTCTAGTGTACTAAACAACTGGTCTGGTGTCTGACCTCAATAAAGAATGGATTATAACTAGATTTGTTGTTATGTGGGAGGTACAATATACTACAACATCTATATATATTTTAAAATACAGCCCGACGTTTCGGATGCTTTGCAGCAGCCGTGGTCACAGGGAGACTGTAGTTAAAAATAAAAAAAAGGAAAAAAAAAAAAAAAAAAAAAAAAAAAAAAAAAAAAAAAACATCGTAAATCGTAGATTTAAATAAAACACTTCAAGGGTTTAACATGCGCTATATGATATTTATCCCCGTGACCACGGCGGCGCAAAGCATACGAAACGTCGGGCCGTAATTAAAATAATTTTGAAATAGGTTTAACTAATATACATATATTTTTTGAATGACAGAGGAGGACAGACATGACAGAGAGGCATGGGGTTCGATTGATGGTAGGCATTATACTCTAGCCTATATCTATCCCACTAAAAAGATGCGCTGTCGAGCTATTTTGTCTTTGGATATTTGGAAATCAACAGACTGAACCCGAAACGCGATTAACCTTCACGGCTTTTTCATCTGTGGACGGTGGTTCGTGACCCGGACGGAATTTCTATATTCCTACCACCCATTTAACGATGCAGATTTCCAGACGAAGTCGAACATGTTTGAGAAAAATTAAAAATTGAAAAATTAGAAACATGTTGACCCAGTGGGGATCGAACCCACGACCCATTGGTTATTAGCTATACATTGCTACCATTAGACCATCGAGTCATCAAATAATATATAAACATATTCGATAATACAACGACAAAAAGTGAGGGCCAATAAACAATTCGTCTTACAAATGTACAATGTAAACATATAATTCACTTTTCCAATGTATGAATAGCTGTTAATAAAAATAAAATACCGGCATATTTTATAACTACTTTAATAGCTTCCTTGAGCAAATAAATAAGTCACCATGGAGGAAATTGTATGAACATTATTTCACGTAGGAAATTACAGCGAAATACAATCTAGCTTAGTCCACATTATGTAGCGTCCGACAATTTTCAGTTAAACAGTCTTTTATATAATCTCTGAATTTTAAAGTTGTACTTAAGCTAAGTTATAAAACAATCTCAGTTATCTGCAAAGTTTAAAATAACAGAAACCGTTTTAAAGACAATCCTATTTACATAACTTAATATAATTTCAAATTACGTAATATGCATAATGTCATGATCTTAAAACTCATGTTCAATAACATGATAATATAAAACTATAGTCTGTGCGTTACCGATTTTTTATTATAAATTCTTTTGTGTCGTTAAAAAAATCGATAACACGGAACTTGACTCAAGATCTAACTAAACCATAGAGTACATACACTTAATTAATTGAAGCATAAACTAAGTACGCTTAATATACCTGATACAGTGATCTGTGCAACACTTACAGATAACTAATAAGTGTAGGATCACACGAGGGGGATACAGATTATACTAGTCATAGACACGAACACATCACTAACCAAGCAAAATTACAATGTGCATATATACAACCGTTTAATAAGCATAATATGCTACCTATCACTGAAACAAGTTGTTTTCCGCAAATACGTGTTTGCAGATGGCGCTAGCGTAATTTGAATTGACAGTACAGTCACCATTTTTAGTCTGTATACAGGCTATGACCGAAGTTACTCATTATTTTCGCATTTCAAACCGTTATAAACGTGGTAATTATTTAGAAACACTAATAGAATTAAGCGTACAATCTTAGGCTATACTAAAACTTCAAATGGGTCAACATTTAGCCTATAAAAAGATTTACAATAAAACCCCCAGTGTATTTTTATTAACTTATTTACATTCGGGACGGTCAACGTTGTCGGGCCAGTCGCATACATTCAGCATAGTATTGAAGACGGTGCCCGACTGGCATGTGAATTGCATACCTTCGCCGTTTACGCAGCGCCAGTACTGAAATAAAGTAATTTTAATATCAATTTTTAAAATAAATAATGTTTAATAATAATAGATTAAAAATTTATTGACTGTGTGCGTGCATGCATTTATGTTTTTTCTTGATGCAAACTTCTTATATAACTATTACAAATAATAACAATTGGTAAGATACTAAAATTTCGATTAAAAAAAATTAAACAGCATATATTATTCAATAGATTATGTAAACAGAATGACACTAGCTTATCCTTAGCGTTTCCAATTTTTTTACAATTGTGTATAGTGCGGCATAACTTATAATAATTAAAAATATTACATATACAAAAACTTTCTTACTTCTAATTTTTAAATGTAAGCTCTCATTATTGTATTTTGCAAGATCTAAAAGTGACAATTTTTAAAAGGTTTTCTGATATCTATTTCGTCAACTATTGTATTTGCTCTAAGTGTCCATATGGAAATAAATAAATAAGTTAAGCCCCTTTTAGATTCAAGAATAAGTTAAATACATTTCTGTTTGGTTCTAATGTCCTACATATTTAGAATTTCCTTGTTCAAGGATCCTATAATAGACGGTCATTGTATTCCTATCTCGTATTTCCAATTAATTTGTTCTAACCAATGGCCAAGGCTGTGGAGACTTAAGCTTATAATCACAGAGAATAGACTTATAGATTTCCCAAATGTAGTGTAAAAGTTATCATAAAGAATTCATAGATTATATAAATACGTTTATCACCTGACATTAAATTAATAACTACTCTGTGGTAGCTTCTAGCTAGTTTCTTTTATATACTGTGGTCTTAAGTTATTGAAGTTTAAAATATTCTGTAGGATTTTCTTTCATAAAAAGTGTTAAGTTTAAAAGTGAAGATCCGTGTCTCACTTAGGACTTAGTCGAGACGCATTACTGCTACTTCACAGATCAAATTACTTTCGATAAATATTACTTATGAAAACACAAAAACTTCTGCTATGTATATGCGATGGAAATGTGGTAAAGAAACAGTTTTTGCGACTTATTAAGAGCTGTATATTATAGGTAATTAAAAGAAGTGAAACCCCGTTTTCTCCCGTACGGCATGGGGCGAACACATTTGTGAACACGTTTCAAGCAAGTAGTTGAATAGACTTCTGTGCCCTGACCAACCGAAACTATCTATTGTTTCCCCAGGATTCAAACCGAGGACCTCTTGTGTTTAATGCAATGTTAGGCAATGCGTTTACCGATATAGCTACAGAGGGAGTTAAAAGACGTCATCAAAAATACTTAAAATTTAAATACAGGCTTTCCGAAAGTGGGATACAAAGAAGTTAAAATGTCTTAGATATATAGGCAGTATAATAATTATATACGAACGCCTTTTCTTAAAATATTTCTGGTTATTTGTTAATTATGCCTAAAACATTTTATAAGCTTAAAATTAAGCTATTAAACTTCCCAGTTCAGCTCAGAAAAGTGGAAAAACAGTTTACTTACTTAACAGGACCTAAAATTACGCGGCACACTGAAAGGATTTTATCAATTTAAATAATTAGGTATTCAGTTAATCTCACCTTATCGCAGCGTCTCTTGTCTGCCACATAATCCTCCGAGGAGCTACAAATTTCGGGGCTGTCCACCTCGTTTTCCTGTTTAATTAAAAACATTTATTTTTAACTCGAATTAATGACGCCGCAACTCTTTCAATGAAATGTTTTATGAGTTGCTAAATTTAAGCTATGAGGGTGCTCTTAGCTGACCAGCGAGTTATTGTAAAGCATTTAGTTTTTATAAGCTGTCTTAACGTGTAATTAGACATGCTTATTTGTGAGAAACACCTAACATTTAAGTTGGTGTAAGGTATATCGAAATTCTGACCGAGTATGGTATAAATATCGAAATTCCGTTCGGGTCACGAAACACCGTCCATAAATGATAAGGCTGTGAAGTTTAATCGCCTTACGGTTTCAGTCTGTGGATTTCGGAATATACAAAACGAAAATAAGTCGAAAGGACATCTTGTTTGAAGGTAAGGTTTGAAGGACTAGGGTATTTCATCCACCATCAAGGTAACGCCATTGTCCCTCATCCTCTGTCATATTAATATTTGTGTTTTCGTAATTGTTTTAAATGCGGTACTTAAGACTGGCGTTGCTTTCTCCAACTTGGCCGTGTGGATTTTACTTATATTAAATGAAAGCAACACTTACTGCTGGCGGTTGTTCCACATCATTTACTGGGTTTGGTGGTTCGCTGTCTAATTGGGTCGTGGTACTGGCTTGAGTGGTAGGTCTAGTGGTGACACTGCTTGCTTGCTGAGTAGTTGGCTTCGCGGTGGTGGGGATGGGAGCTCCTTCGGATGGATCAGATGTAGTTGAAGGTGGTCTCGCCCATTCAGGCTGCAAAAAAGTGCGAATATAACACATAAAAATCAATTCCTGTCGGAATGAATAGTTATGTAAAAATGTTTATTAAACATCTTATTTTCACTTTAAAACGAAATTCCGTACCCCACTTTATGGGATACATGGCGACATATTACTGTATCTATTTTACTGACAGTAAAATGTTTTTTTGTTATGACGTTATATATAAATAACTACAAATATATATTTAAAAGTACATATTTACCAACCTTGCATTTTAATTTATGGCAATATTATTTAACATTTTTCTGTCTTGTAATAATATATAAATAAATACAAAAGAGTTATTTATAACACATATGTCAAAAAACTTCGTACTCACCGTGGGAGTAGTGTTTCCAGTTCTAGGCGGTGGAACGATATAATCTGACATATACTTATGCAGCAGTTTAGATAACGGGTTCTTCTCGCCACAGACTCCCTGGAAATCATCCATATCTATCGCCCAGGTCATAGCACCGAGGTATCCCTTCTGCTTGATCCACTTCATCTTAATTTCCACACTGCGAGGGTCTTCGTAACCAACCCACTGAGTTCCCTTGTATGCGTACGGACACATGCCGTGGTCATCCCATTTCTTTGTCCATTCAGTCTCTGGTTTGTCTACGTCCATACAGATCTTTAAAAAATAAGATTAGTCACTTGGGTTTTTTGAGTTTTAATCCAGAAATGGTTGGTGAAAAGGCGAACCTCGTAGTAAGCCCAAAATCCTGTGGCATTTGTGTAAGGAGCTGGGTTACCACCACCAGCCTCTTTATTGATGTACGTTCCCAGCCCATAGTTGTTGTTACCAGCTGACAAAGTGAACGATCTGCCGTAGAATGGAACTCCAACTACCAATTTGTTTGACGGACAGCCTTTCTCCTCCCATAGATTAAGACCGTCGTTCTGAAAGTCAATATAAAACCTCATTATGTATAATGTGTCGATTGCAAGCCATACACAAAAATGTGTCTATTCCGTGGCAAACACATTCTCGTGTTAATTTTAGTAATATTCTCGTTCCATATATAAGCCTGGATATCAAATCCTGGAACTCTTCTGCCATGAATAATAAAAGCGATCTAAATAAAGAACTCCATAAGAAGCTAATGAAAACTAATTGATTTTGGTCCGCTAAAGGTATATAAACTTAGTTATCAATTCTTCGGTAATAGATGGTCAATAAGTAATTAGGTGTTCGTTCGTGTTAACCTAATCTTGCATTATTGATAGAAATGGCTTCATAGGTTTTACTAACGATAAATATAGCTACTCTATTTAAAGTGTGAATTGGCCTTTAAAACATACATACCACATTAAGTTTCTCATAGGCCCACTGATCGTGAGGCCGCTTGTAAAGGGGAGAGTGCACATCAGCAAAACCAGCCCAGTTACCACGAAGGTCGTATGACATCACGTGAATTGCATCTAATTCCCTAAAAAAGATAATAAAGGTAATACAATGTGGACAAACAAAATTTCCGAATATCCAAAGCCTAAATAAGTCGATAGCGCATCTTTAGATGTTATATGGCATTTATTGATCATTGTGGTTTTTATGTTATTGGGCTCCCATCAAGCGAACCCCATGCTTGTCTGGTCACCTCTATATTTAAAAAAACATACTCAAAAAGTACATCATCACTTACTCGCACAAATCTGGCACGTGATACCCCTCCATCAACCTGAAGTTTGCCAGAGGCACAGCAGCCGTAAGCTCCCAACCTTTACCTGCTCTGATAAAGGCTCTCCTCAACTCCTGAACGAAAAATAGGAACTTATCCTTATCAGAGAAGGAGCCGCCGCGGTCAGCAGCGCCAGGGTACTCCCAGTCAAGATCCAGACCATCAAACTCGTACTTGTTGAGGAAGTCTGGAAATGAATTTGTTTTGTATAAATGGTTTTTTGAAAACTTTAATATTTTACACATAATACAAAAATTAAAAACTGATTTTAGATAAAAAAATGTCTTCGACACTGCGCGAGTACGTCCTATATATATAGGTTGGAAAAAAGAAAAAAAAATAGGACACGGTAGCTCAATTGGTTAGAGCTACAGGACGGAACCGATGCCGGTTCGAGTTCTGCCCGTATCATCATTTAAATAATACCTAATTGAATGAAGAATAACTGTCTTTAAACCGAATTGCAATCAATCAAATAAAAACAATATTGTTTGATCAAGGACGAAAAAGGAAAATTGATCACTTCTTTCTATATAGTATGTATCAGTGTCGAATTATGTTTGGCAAAAGAAGGAAAAATGGCACTCCTTTATTTCACTTCAGTATTAGAGCACAAATAGGACAACAAAAAAATGTACTTAGTTAACGCTTGTATAAAAGCGACTCGTGTTTTCGCGAGTAGATAGCCGAAAGAGACAAAACTTATTACTTAGCTATTTCCAGCTTTGTTAAGAGGAAATTCATGCAAATAAATGCAAAAGCAGTAAAGTTTGCATGTACAATGTTTAAGGGCTACAACAATTCAATTTCAAGAAAAAAACTCTCACTTTGCGTTATAAGAAGTTTTAATTGGCACGAAATTTCATAACGCGGGAATAGATGCAGAAACTGTACGGCGAGATTTTGGGGTGGAAATTTAAAAGTAGTACGGAATCCCGGAAAAGGTATTCAAAAACACACATAAATAACATTTCCCAGACAGAGAATGAGTTTAATTCTAAGGAAGTATAAAGACTCATAATACATTACGATTATCTTTTAAATAAAAAAAATTGTACTTGTGTAATTTAACTCGTTATTTCGAATGCTTTGCAGCAGCCATGGTCTCCGGGTTGGTTCTGTTCCGTCGTTAACTTATATATTTCACGTTTTGAACCATCAAAAAGTGTTTATATGTGTACTAGTAACTTTAAAGGGCTTACTAATAATTCATCTCGAAAAATAAAATTTTACAAGAATTCTCCTTCATATGACTTCCTAACAGTCACGGAAACCATAAAATTCCGCCGTCCAAAATACGAAACAAACATTCGGCCATTGTTTTATAAACCTAGTTCTAGGCATTTTTGGAATTCAATTCTGAATTCTACAGTTTGACTATTTGTACTGGATTTCTTTTCAGTTAAAAATTTAACAGGGCCGCTAAGTTACGCTAAATACATGTATAAGTCACGTTAAAACGCAATTAAAATAATTTATCAAAATATTCGAGTGAATTGTGTACACGGAAACTGCATTCAAATATAATAAAATAATAAAATATTTGCTAACACAAAGTCGTATATACTGTTTACATTATATTTGTGGTCGTTTGATAACTTATGGCCTTCCCCCTATTTTTGACCCCTATTAAACCAAGGATTAATGAGGACCTCTTCGCAAACATCAAACACTGCGAAGAGAATGCGGAAACATAATTTTTATTCCCAACACGTAACGTTGTGTGTATTATTCATGGTTCTGTCTAGAACTTTGCGATAACATATTACAATATTAATAGGGTGTATAAAATATATGCTTATTTGATTAATACTGAGTTACGCTTGTTTCCTTATAGCCTGTTACACGAAACATTATTAACTAATACACTCATCTCCACACAGAAGTCATTTTATGGTACCTCATTAGAAATATCATTCGCTGTATTGCTCCTGGCAACACTAACCATGTTTTTTCATGGTTAACAAATGCCGCTAAATAAACATGTATGTCACATAATATTTTTATCCACTGTACGTTATAAGATACAAATACACACATTAATAATATTAAATTTCCCACACACAGAATGAATTTACTTCTAAAAATACAAGACCACTGAAACATCGAGATTTCCTTTTAAGTAAAATACTTAAACGGTTTAAAACGTGAAATATATTACTTTACTTTACTAACTTTCTTCTTCATCTCAATTTGTTTTTAATGATTTGCATCAGCCAATATAACGGGATTGGGGGGGTTCTATTCCGTCTTAAACTTATATATTTCCGGTTTAAACCGTTAAAAGTGTGTATGTAAGTGTGTAAACCGAACGTTACGATTATCTTTTGTTCTGTTTATCAGTGTAAAGTGCTTACTTATAATTTATCTCGACAAGCAATTGTTTTTTCCGTCCCTTATGAAAGACATTATAACGGTAATAAAAAAGTTTTAATGCTCACCAACAACACTTCTGACGAAGGCCATTCGAGAGCTTTTCTGGGCCACCATGCGGGAATATTTGGCGCCGCCCTCGGCCCAACCCCCCACAGCAACCATGAACTTGACATTGGGGTGTTTGTTACGCAAAGAGGTGAAATTGCGAAAACCTCCTTTCTCCACGTCGAGCTGAAAACATTAAGGATTATGGGAGTTCTTGGTTATGGCAACATCGCAAATTGCCTTAATATAATGTCGTTGTGTTACGGCCTAACTTTTGCCGATCTAATTGATATCTACTACACATAAAGACTAAGTATTATCTTCTCTATAGGTAGGTAGTATTGTAGCTAGTAGGTAGTATTATATTCTCAATTTTATCGTCGAATAAACGAGATACTTTATGTGTCTTTGCGTTAAATTGGGGATGATCTAGCTACTTCATAAAATATAAGAACTTTTTACTTCAATAATAAATAATGATTTAATAAACTTGGACCAGAATTTTTGCAACAGGTGTATAAATTAATAACCAAGTTGGAATTTTTAAGACAGCTCTGTTGACTTCGAATTAATAAAATTAAGCAAATATTTTATAAATTGTCCCTAATAAGAAAACGATACGTAAGTATTACTAAATTTTCAATTATCTCAATAATCTCTTATCTTTTAAGTTTTGACAACAATTATTAATTTTCTTAGTTAATTTTTTTTTAGTGTATCTTCTTTATGTTTGTTTATTTTAACCACTATGGGAGTGATAGCCCGTTCCCCCTCGTGGGGCATGGGGCGAACACATTTCTGTGTCCGTTTCACTGATCAGTTCTTTTAATGGGCAAGTAGTTGATCAGACTTCTGTGCCCTGCCCGAACGAATCAATTGTTTTTTGTTTCCCTGGGATTCAAATCCAGGACCTCTCGCGCTTAACGCAATGCTAGGCAATACGTTTAACCATTTGGCTACAGAGGCGGTCTATTTTAACCACTATAGTAAGTGCTAAAATCTTTTTCGCTAAAATACTTTTCCTAGGTAGATACTGCGATAACTATAAACAGGACATAATACAATTTGATTTACATGTCAAAATAAGTTCTAACTCACCTCCGGGTCAATCACAAGTACTTCGTGAGTGTTCTCAGTGACTCCGATGAAAGAATAAATAATGTGGGTACAGAGATCTACTGGTATATCATCGATGCCATAGCTTCCGATTCCTGGCCGATACACTGCCCAGTTGCTGAAGTAACATACGATGCGCGCTTTGCTGTCCGCTGTCAAAGTTATAGTAAAAGAAATCGTCATTTATTTATACCTTTTTCTACTGTCACAGAAAATACCTAACTAATTATAACCGTACCACAGACGGAAAAGGCTATATGTAATGTAAAAATATAGTTATGTGATGTTAAATTCTATAGTACTAGCGCGTCAAAGCGACCTATTTTTTATATGTGATATTTATCTTAATGAATATCAAGATTTGACATACATAATGAAGACAAAAGTATTTTATACATTCTTTACAATAAAAAGCATTCTAGTCTTACTTATAGATTCTTTTGTGCAAAATCATATTCATAATCGATCAATTATATTCGATACCACTGCGCGGAACTGACAGATCGAATTAGCTGCATTATTAACTATATCGGAATTTAAATAAAACACTTATACTTATATTAGTTAAACTTATTTGAAAATTATTTTTAACGTCATAGGGAGACCCCCCATTTGTCTCCCCGTGACCACGGCTGCTGCAAAGCATCGAACGTCATAACGAAGTTAAAAAGCATTTTTGAATAAGTTTAACTAATATATCGCGTTTTAAACCGTAAAAGTGTTTTATTTAAATGTGTACTACTCGCGTAAACTATAGACAGTCTATCGTAATTTATAAAGATTAAAACACAATATAGAATTATCTATATTTTGTGGATAATGGCATATACAAACACGAGTGATATAAACTCATATTCTTATGTGGGTGACGGAGAAAGTCGGGGGTTGAATCTAAATATAATTTTCGGTCTTCAATAACGTTATGTAAATCGCACACATCCCAAGATCACGTCCCACGAGTAATAAAGTTTACGGCTATTATAATTCGTAAGAGTGAACGGATTTAAATTAAACTCGAGAATCACGAGGAGATGATAAACTTTCCAAAAAACTTTGCCAATTTCGTGAATTTCGCGCCAATAAAATCACACGCGAATACTCACATTTGAATATCGAACCAAATTCAAAGATAATTATAGAGTATAATGTCATAATTTATGTTATTAGCTTTAAATGTCATAGACTCTAAAATTAACAATAATTTAAGCCTTGGGTCAAATGTTTTTAATTCTCTTTATAAACAATTTAATTTCTAACACAAGTCATCTTTTTTCTTTCTAGTATTCGTAGTTCTCAGTATCACTTTTTAATTGAAAAGTCCTCTAATTATCTACGATCTAATTGAAACAAATGACGGTATTATCTGTTCCCAATTGACAACCAGTTCCTAGGGAGTCTAAAGCATTTTATCAGAAATTGCGAATTTTGCTGGAAGATACTTCCAATTAAGTCGAGTATAGACTGTACAGTAGCCTCAAGGCATCGTCGGAATTAGTAAACAGTGCAACTATGCGATCGCGTCGTAAACAAAGGAAAACCGACACAAACACTCTGGCTTACAGTTTGAAGCCTGAAAGCAAAGTATTCCATTTAATATGTTATCGGAAAATATGCGATACCTACTTTAAAAGGCCATTTTCTTTTTTTAACTAATAAAATTTTGGATTTAACTTCTTCGAGAGATTTTTGTGAAGTCGAAAGTACCTACACGATATTTAAGACAGAGAAGGAAAGGCGAGCATTTTGAATAAAACTACTGTAATTTAACATGTGTAGTATAATCTACCTCTGTGTTTAAGACAACAAACTGCTATGACCCATCCTTTATTAAGTCAGACCCAGACCAGTTGTTTAGTACACTAGAAGACCAAGTTTTAGGGGCGTACGATAAACTACAATGAATAGCATGGGACAAAAGAGGTTAATTTTATTCGTGTTATTTATATTGTTATTAAATATTAAAACGGTACTTACATTCAGCTGTTGTAAACGCAGCAAGGACTGCCAAAGAGGCTAGTAGCACGCGCATTTTGTCTAAAAAGAAAGAGTAATTTAATTCGTGTTAATTACTATGTTTATGACCCCGTCTTACATAAATAATGAATGAAGAAGTAACATTTATGTGTCAGCAGTATGGTTGATATATTCAATAGTAATATATACTAAGATAATTTAAATTTATTTCACAATATTTAAATAATTATTAGAGTGAGCAATGGCGCTAATAACATTTAAAGAATTAAATTAAATTTTTTTGCTTAAATAGCCGGTAAATATTTTATAGAATAGAAGAATAATTCAAAACACAGGACATTAAAAACTACAATAGTAACGGCACTGCAGAGATCATTTTCTAGAGTAAACCAATATAATCTTGTAAATATTCTTTTTCTTTTGTTTTAATTTTCAGGGCAAAGTCGAGTAAAAGTTAAAAATAAAGTTATAAATTTCACAGTTTCATATAAACCGCAGATTTATACAGTATGTAGAATATTATGAAAAGTTCACGGAGAAATAGAATAAGAATACGCGTTAATTGTCATTTAACTGGTTAATGAGTTACCTAACGGAATGTTATAGTTGTAAGTAGTGTAACGGTGCTGCCAGTCCAGTTTATCACCGACCTGACCTAAACTACTAAGAACAAAAACATCCTCCTTGCTACTTCTTCTTAATTACCATATTATCTACGATATAAAATCAGGTGCTCTAGACTTATTAAAACTGGTCAGTTTCTACAAAAATCTATACTAATATATAAAACTGATGAGTTTGTTTGTATGTTTGAAATATTTTTGTGTTGGTTAGAGCATTTATCGAGGAAGGCTATAGTTGCTGCTTTGCAGGGCAGACTCCCCGGTCGGTCCGAGACATAGGGCCGTAGTTAAAAACATTTTCCAAGTAAGTTTTAACTAATATACATCGCGTTTTATTTAAAAAATATTAATAATAGTCGGAAAAGATATACATAGATTCTAGATTTAATAGTAGAAATTAAAATGTAAAATAACTATGCGTGAATAAATTAATACATACTAGTATTTCAAGCCAGAATCGAACTAGTGGTGTTCCGTGTATTTTATCATTTATTTGACGAATAAAGAAATATAATGTAATTTAATAAATCTATTTAACAAATTTTCCAATACAAGTTTGTTATTAATCAACACCAAGTGAATATTACTAAAGTTTTCAACTTCTGAAATTATGTTTATTACGACACTATAATGAAATGTTATTAAATATCACGTGTATGGTCGGATGCAAAAAACTTTTTCCCATTCAAACTACATAGGAAATTAAATTCTTATTATAAGCATAATATTTGCTTGCATGTTTTTTATATAAGGAATAAATATATAAGGAATAAAATGTAAAAGAAAATAACACAATTAAATAATGTTATTCTTCCATCATCACGCCCTATTCAAAGAAAATTCTGGTTCGAATTGAAAAAATATCTTTGTGTTGGTTAGGGCATTTATTGAGAAAGGCTATATAAGCTATAAACCACGCGCCGTGACTAATAAGAGCGAAGAAATGTGAAAACAATGGAGAAAACTACGCACTGGGTTTCAGATACGTACGCTTCGAAACGCAGATACTTCGAAAACGGTACACGGCACCCAAAAAATAAAGAATAAAGCAAAGAATCATTCCTCTTTAAATGATCTAAAAATAATGCGATACTATATGTCGATCATTAGAAATTAACTTACTAGAACGACGGGATGCGTCCGACGTCGTTGGTAATAGCTAAATTTATAAAGATGAAAAGGACATTTGCAAAACAAAATTTGGAAGTTCAGAATTACTATCGCGACAACCGCGTATCTTATAAACAAAAAAGTTCGTCGATTACCGTTAAAATGTAACCTCACTGCTTCATACTGTGTACATGACACCATACATACTGCACCTGACTGTACATCTCTAAGTAATGAAAGTCTATTAATAAATGAACTAGTATTATTTGTTATTTGACACAGTGAGAGCCGGTTTGACATCTACAGAGTAACAAAACAGCTTAAATTAATAATATATTCAAATGTATTCCGAAATCTTGATCTTGAAAGAGGGTAATCAAAACAGTAGGTATTATTACAAGTTCATCTATGTGGACTTTTAAGCAACTGTGAGATCTTCGGCTAAGGAATGTATTAAAAATAGTGGAATGAGCCGTCTGGTTCCCAATTAATCGATTGTCAAAAGAACTTGGGCTCGTTGGTCTAATGATAGCAATATATGGTTAATAATCAATGCGTCGTGGGCTTTATCCCCACCAGATCCAACATATTGTACTTCGTCTGGAAACCTGGATATTAAATGAGTGGTAGGAATATCGAAATTCCGTTCGGATCACGATCCACAGATAAAATAATAAAAATCGTGTTTCGGTTGCAGTCTGTTTCCGAATATCTAAAGCCAAGATAAGTCGATACCGCATTTTGATTAGATGCTATATGATATATATAGGCTGGGGCATATCACTTACAATCAAGTGAACAATGCTTGTCTGTCATTAAAAAACGAATTTTTAAGACTTCTATTAATACTAGTCTTGTATTCTGTAAGTTCGTATATATAAAAGGACAAAAAAAAATACTACATGTACAAATTTAAAACATTCTAATGATCACCAATTATTTTTTTGCAACAGACTAATAAACACGAATTCGACAACTTAAACTATACTTTTGCCCGAGTGTAATCGTTCTCTATACAGCTAACTGACTCGTGTGGGTGTAATTAAAGCCTGAAGCCAAGAAATAAATCACGAGGATTTCGTACGGTTTATATAAAGAGATCGGTCCCAGCTCCGGGACCTTTAATTAAAAGTGCCCTTAAAACTTACTTATGCACATGACTTTTTCTCCTCGCCACAAAACGAAACTTTATGATTGTTGTTAAAAAATGCTAATTGTATTTCGATTTGTAAGTTGTATCATATTTTATTTTCGCATAAATAATAGAAATAAAAAACCCTTAAGTATAACATAAGTTTGGGAAATTCAATTCTTAGTCGATGAATACAACCATGTATCGATTCACAAATAATCGAAATATTTAGATTCGAAATAATATGAATAAACGAATTACAAAAACAATGATTGAAACAGAGACAACATGTTCTTTGTCGATTGTCTAAAAATCGTGCTGGCTGAATAAAAAAAAAATCTCAAAAAGGAAGCCTTTTGCAAAGTGAGGGCTTACATCGTTCACACAAGACACGTACCGCGTACAGATTGTATTTTATTAAAGAGAATTGTCCTTTTTCCTTGTTTATTATACCTTTTCCTCAATAGCGAACCAAACACTTCCCGAATTTGTATGCAAGCATCGATCATATTATGGAATCAATGAACTGAGAAACACATAATAAACTAAACCGAGTTGGCTATTCTATCAACACAAGACTACCTCCATTGTATGTTAATAATTAACCAAGATATAATATATAGAATGTACAGTAAAGTTCATTCAATATAATACATAAAAATTCTAACGAAAAATAAATCCTTTGGTGTGCATACGCGTGTTGCTTACTAAATCTTCTCTTTCTCTTGTCGCTCTTAATTTAAGAACGTCGTCTTTTTATGACAGAGGAGAAGAAGACAAGCATGGCGTTCGCTTGATAGAAGGTAAAAAATACCCCACCCGTATAATGTCTACGCAAGATACAATGTCCTTCTATTTTGATTTTTGACTTTCAAAATTGTAGATCAATACATTATTTTAGTTCGGATTGGTATTAATAAAGTTTTAACTCGCTAGATAGAAAATCCGAAGTACCCAAATTAAGTGAAATGAGGCCTTTTTAACCGCCCATAGACAAATAATAAATATGAATAGCCTTTAATAATAATGGGCCCAAAATTAATTGCTTGGAAGAAGTGACTCGCGGTACTCAGTGATGAGACGTGCTAAGCCTAATAATGAGTGTCGATATCCTTAAGACCTAACGCCGAAAGCCATTGTTTGACGACGTAAGACTATTGGTCAAGCGCGAGTCGGATTTGTAAAAGAGTCGCTACCAGAACGACAAGGGATTTTCAGCGTTTTAATATAAAGACAGAAATTCTTAATTTAAGGAAACTCATCAAATATTACCTACCAAGACCATAGTATAAGATCCTAACGTAGGAATTATACATACGATTATAATTTGTATTATCCGTAAATAATTCGAATTTCTAATGATTTTAATTAATTGAACTTTGTTTTTTTTTTCTATTTTTCGAATTCACAAAAATATTGAATAAATTATACTCATTTTTATATGCCTACATGAATTTAGTACATCGATATTGAAACCCACTTTCCATGTTTACAAACAAGAAAACCGCGTCACTTTCCTTCTAACACGTAATTTGTCTGCCATATGACAGCTACTAATTTAAAAATAAATGATTAATTCAACCAATTCAATGAATAATTAATAATTCCGATATTGTCATAATTTTTACCTATTTGACGTTGTTAATTGCAGCATTTTTAACAGAACTTCCGTACCAACCTCGCGATGTATTTTAATGTTTTATTAAGTAGTTATGATTCCGTTATAAATATTTATTGGTTTTATTTAAATGTTAAAATCGCGCGTGCTGCTTGCGATTCTACGCACTTTTTAATTACGGTTTATTTATGAATATATGCTATTAAAGTGTTTAATATATAATAATATTTAAATAAATTACTAAAATGTATTTTTAAATATCGAATTTAACTTACGACTGTAACGATACTATTACAGATTTGATATTAACACAATTTTTCACAAAACACAGAGCCACCACGTATTTTTATAATATTTTAGACGCATGCGCGTTAGAATCACGTAATCTCGTTAGTGGAAAGAAGAATACTCACGGTTCGCGATGTGACGACGTGCGTGCGATTGGCCTCCGGCGACACTGCATCGTGGTTTTATGCGCCCGCGCATCCTCGCTACGCATAGGGTGCGCTAAGATGTCATTTGAATATTAAGAATGTAAGTACAACTGGAAATATTATTATTGGCATAGTTAATAATCATACCGTTGTTTAAAAAAAAGGTTAAAACCATGTTTTATTCTTTAACGACTCCATTGTGCTGAAGTATAGTTTTTCATAGTGTGAGCGTCTTGAATTTGGCTATTCGAGAAATATATGGAAGTGCTATCTTTGGACGTGTAGAAATCAATCACACCAATAACAGTGACATAGAAATATGAACGCCCTATGTCCCAGAAATGGATTTCTCGTTTAAATATTTTAGAAAAAATATTTTATAACTTCAATAAGTACTTTCTCAACACAAATGTGTAATTTCCTTACTTAGACTGACATATATCTGTGTTTGAAAAATAATCTCTGGGACTCAAACTCTAGACTAGATGCTGAACGCAATATCGTTTAACCGCTAAGGCGTATTGTAACCGTAATAACTCGTGATTAAAAGTATAAATCAGATATGTCATATTAAGAACACCAGTTTTTGCTATAACAATTAAATCTAGATTTAAATCTGCGACAAGAAATTAAATAAGTGCATAAGAAGTAAAACAAAAGAATAACTTACATCACAAGTCCTCAAATGACAAACATTTCCCCTTTATACATAACAAGTGTTGCAAAACTGTAATACGTCCTATGTTTGTAACTATTAAGTCTATGGTTGACAAGAGATAAGTTGATTTTAAACAGATACGACTGTAAAAGAAATATTGGTTCGTGCTTTTATATTTAATTATGAACAGTTAACGTCAATACACATTAATAAAAAAAATCATTGTGTTAATGCTAAAGCGTTCTCTTCACACTTGTCAAAATGAAATTGGGGTCACTTGACCCAAAAAATAAAATAAAAAATTTTAGATTAAAAAAATATATGACACGTGCAGAACTTGAAACGGCATCCACAGCGTGTTCTACGTCTACTGTCCGCGTCATCATTTTTTAACGTATCTAACGTATTAATTACTTTATAACATCGAATTAATGCTTACAATCATTTTAGCTTAAAAGCATTTTTCCTGAGGATCACCAATCCTTGGATCACTATCGTCCACAGATTATAAGGAGGTGATGTCCACGTTTCGATTTCAGTCTGTAGATCTAAATGTCCAAACCTAAAATTGGTCAGCGCAATTCGTTTAGATGTTATATAACTGGGTTATTTCATGCTTAGATTCAAATATTTCTATGACCCAATCCTTGTCTATGCTTCTCTTGTCATATTTGTGTATTTTCCAGGACACTCTGTATACAAATAAGAGTACTCCCGAAAAGTGCAGCACATTGATACCGATAATGAGAGGTCGAGCAACGGTCCGCAAACCAGTATCAACGAGGTTTTGCTTCCCTCTCAGATATCAACTTACATTAACTGTATTAGCCGTATAATTATTATGTATTATAGCTCTTACTGAACTTGATATGTCATTTCATTCAGGTCAAACGTGCGAACTTCTATGAAAATTAACTGAAGGGCCTACGCTCACTATCTATAGTGCTCTAGACCAATGATAAACATAAAAATCTAGTATATATGAAGCCGCTAGAAGCAGAGTGGCTTAACTGCAATTTTACGGCCTAACTTATTTATATTTAGGTCTAAAATATTTAATATACAAGACACCATGAATTGTTAACGTAATTCTTACTCAAATAATATTACAAATTCATGCTCGCCTAAGTTAATAGCGCATTTGTATTTTGCTCCTTATTGAAAAGCAAGCTTTTTGTTATTAGGTCACTCTGCCTCTAGCAGCCTTATTTGTAGTTTACACAGTAGTACACATTTAAATAAAACTCATTTAACGGTTTAAAACGCGATATATATAAGTTAATTTGTTTACAATTTATTTTACGGACGTTTCGGATACTTTGCAGCAGTAGTGGTCACGGATGGATATATCTGTACGTTTCTGCTACGTTTTTTCCTTGCTACTAAAGCATTTCTTCTTCTTCTTGATAAATTGCTGCATCTAATAGTTTCTAAGTAAAACTTACAGTAGGTCTAAAAATTGTAAACGTCTAAGTTCTTCTAACGATATAAAGTAGGATTCAAACTTGTCACTTAACATTGCATTGCAACAATAAGCAACGGTGCCTCCGTTATTATTAGGAAAAATGTACAAGGTCATCAACCTGAGTTAAAAATACTGAATAATCATTCCTTTACACTTTATTTTATTAACATTTTAACGGCCCTCGTTCAATTTTAATCGCATATAACCAGTACACAAATGTCCCCATGAAAGATACAATCAATTTATGTTTGTAATAACATAAACTTTTATGTTTACTTAACACCGCAATAAACGAACTGTTATTTCTAAATTCTTCGTATTTGCTCGCAATATTCTTGTTAAAAATCGATTTTAGATTGTAAAAAAAACACGGGTAGGACTTGAAGCGACATCCATAGCGTTCCGTGCTGTTGCATTAACCAATTGAGCTACTGTGCCCTACAAGTCATTCTTGATTTTTTTTTTACTTGACACATGCACCTCTTGCGCACATATTTATTGCAAATTGGCAAAAGTTATTTGTTGGTTGCAAGATTAATATTATTATGTTGATATAACTCTAACAAATTTCCACTAAAGATAATTATTAAAACGGTTCTCGTGGGTTAATCTTAATAGATAGAAATATGTAAACTGTGTGTGCATTTGGATTTACATTATTAAAAAAAAATCTTTTATACTTGTTTTTTTGGTTTCTGGAACCTTTTTGGAACCGTTATCGCAGGGCATGCCAAACCCATAAAGATGAATAATTTTAGTTCATTTTAAAATTTCCCAATGATTCTCCGTTTCTATTGGTCGCAGCGTGATTATATATAGTCTAAAACATACCTCGATTAATTCCTGAGATTAGCGTGTTTACATACAAACATATTCTTCACCTTTTAAATATTAGTATAGATTTAAATAAAATACTTTAACAGTTTAAAACGCGACTTATTATTGAACTTATTTGGAATATTTATAACTATGCTTTACAGCAACCGTGGTTATAGGGAGACTATAGATGGAGGGTGTCTGTGATGTCAAAGTAAAAATCGCGACGTTAGCGCCATCTGTTCAGATCAAAGAGTTTGCTAGCTATTTTCTCGAACTTTCCATTAGCCGTCTAATAATTGTAAAGAATAGATAACTCGAGCCTTCAATCTGGCAGTCTCCGTTTCCAATTAACCCACTGACATGAAGATTAATTGGGTTAATACTTTAGGCAAAGTGATTCGTCACCTTTTGAATACATCAATAAATTAGCTTGTTTTCAGTTACTGTGGACAGGTCAAGATAAATAGGAAATAAAATCGTTATTTTTAAGCTGGTGGACAGGCAGGTTCATTCTTCATGGTAGGTGAAATACCCCAGCCACAAAAAAACAAAACTAGTTGTGTTGTCGACCTATTTTGGCTTTGCATATTCGGAAATCCATTATCTGAAACCGACACGCGCTTAAACTTCACGGCTTTTTCTATGGTGGACGGTGGTTCGTGATCCGGACGGAGTTTTGGTATTCCTACCACCCATTCCAATATCCAAATTTCCAGACGTAGTCCAAAATTGTTTTAGTAAAAAGACAAAGAATTATCTAAATATTATTAGTGCTCATTATATTCAAAACAAGAGGTGAACAGCCTCGTTTTAATGCAGCAAACAGATTACTATACGGTATTCGTTTTATTTTCTGTATTTGTTTATATATGTTTTACTTTTTAAGCAATGGGATTGAAGAGCTCAAGCTGTACACATTGAAATAAATACTTTTAAATTAAATAATTGATATATACATTTACATTTATTTAGCATAGATATTATATATTCTTACACAAGTTTTTTATGTTAGAGGAGGATAGCCAAGCATAGGGTGTTCTCTTGATTGTACGTGAATATCCCAGCCATACTGTCTATAGTTTACGCGAGTAGTACACATTTAAATAAAACACTTTAACGGTTTAAAACGCGATATATTCATTAAACTTATTTGAAAATGTTTTTTAACTTCGGCTCGACGTTTCGGATGCTTTTGCAGTTGCCGTGGTCACGGGGAGTCTCCCCGTCATTTTCAAATCAGTTTAACTAAAATATCGCGTTTTAAACCGTTAAAGTGTTTTATTTAAATATCCCAGCCATTTAAAATCTAAACAAGATGCGCCGTCGGCCTAATTTGGCTTTGTATATAGAATAGTATAATTTTTGCATTGGCCACTGTGATTCATCGGTTAAATACATTGCCCATGCATTGAATAGCCCTGGGTTTGAAGCCTGAGAAATATAAAGCACACGAAGAGGCGTAGTCATAACTAGTCGCGTGTAAACAAAATCAGTCGGGAAATCCCCATGGCCCATGCCCCATGCCCCACTTAAACGCTGTAAACTTGTACTCCCTACCATTATCATATATAAACTAGGCTACCGACTCTGAACTAGTATGCGATAAAACTTCTGGTTAAGTGTTCGCAAATAATCTTCTCAATTGTTGTTTGCATAAATTATGCATGCTGTTAGCCGGTCTTATATCGAATACAGGCTGCACTGGAGCCCGCAAACTCGAACCAAATAAACCTACATCTCTCAATAACTAGGGTGGCCACGGATCTCGAATTTACTTAAAAATCGTTACTATATGTATATTATTATGTAGTAACTGTTGGCATATGACTGCCTTTGCAGCTAAATGGTTAAGCGTTAAGCGCGAGAGGTCCAGGACCTCGATTCGAATCCCGGTGAAACTATAGATTGTTTCGGTCAGACAGGGCAAAGAAATTGTTTTGACGTCTGACATGCCTTTAAATAAAACTGATCAGTAATACGTACACAGAGATTTACTTGCCCCATGCCCCGCGAGATTTTGTTCAGTGTACTTTAATCCTCATGTTACTTACTTAAACCCGCGGTAACGGTAAAGTATAAGGATAATTTAAATTCCTAAATTTAGCCAAAT